TAGAGCATGGTAACCTGTTCCAGTCGTTAATTCCCTTGGGTGACGAAATCTATCCTGGTGTCTGTCCTGAAATTGCCCTTTGCTACCAAGAACCCGTTTCCTCTTGTTCAACTGTGTTGCAAACTTGACCTCCTCTCCCTCTCCTGTTACAGAGAACATTTCTCTTCCCTCTGCCCCAGAGGGCACAGAGACAATTATGATCTGAGAGGAAGGAGGTGGGGGAGAAGATCTACACAGAGACAACTGAGCTACTGAAGAATGAAAGGTCATCGACCTGAAACCTTAACTCATTTTCCTCTCTCCATAGATGCTGGCTGACCCGCTGTGTGTTCCCAGCGACAGCTGTTTTTATTACTAAAAAACTAATCTCACTAAAGCATCACTCGAAACATCAGTACATCATGCTACAACATGACTTAATTTAGTTTGAGTCCATCTATTAGTGTGTTGTGGACCCATACCATAGTGGAAACACAGTACTCTTCTGGCTCCAGAATGGAGTGGGGAGGTTTCTGTGCATATGCAGTAAAGTGACTGCTTTTGAAGGTAAATGCCTTTTGCGCCCAAACAACCAGGAGGTGAAAGAGCGATCGATTGTTGGTCAGGACACCAGGAGAAACTGGTGAACAGTTGGTCACTGGTTTAGTTACTCAATCCACGACTGTTTGTGGGACGCTGCTGTGCGCAATTGGCTGCTGAGTTTCGCCCACAAAATATACAGTCAATCCACTTTACAGTATATTCTGTGAAGTGCTTTGAGACGTCTCGAAAAAGTGATAAGCCACTGATGCAAGGATCAAATGCAAGGATTATTATTATTGATATTCATATTATAACAGGGGCAATGGGCGGCAAGCCATCCCCTGGTTGAAGAAGTTACGTTAGGACACGTAGCGAATAGAAGGAGAAAGGAAAGGGGCAGAAGGGGTTTTTAAAAAATAAAAATAAACTTCCAACGCTTGAAAAATCTACAAAAGACTCCACACAGTGAGAGACAAGGCTATCGGGCAGGGAGCACAAGCTGAACGGCTAAGGTAACACCATAATTCATGTCAGCTCAACACCAATTCATCATTGAATAAAACTTCCTTTCAATCCCTTTATCATGGATTGAAAGCTGATTCCCTCGCCTCCGACTGGCTTGTGAACTAAGTTACACCTTTAGGCAGGAGGCTTATTGGACTAGCCATCGAGTAAAACAATAAACTAAACACAATTCGCCTTTCTCTTGACATCGATCAGTTATATCCTAAAACCAGGCCAAAACAATCAAGGAGTGTTTTACTGAGAATGTACGGTGGCAGTCAGTAACACTCTCGCATCTGAGTCAGAAGGTTGTGGGTTTGAGCCCCATTTTGGGACTTTGAGTCACATCAGGCGGATGACTCACAAATGACTGACTGTAAGCCTGAGGTGGTGATAAGGAACGGGGGAGTGGGGGGGGGGGGAAGAAGTATAGGTCTTAAGGTGAGTTTTGAAGGTGGGGAGGGAGGGAGTGAAGGGGTAAGGCAGGGAGACTCCAGAGAGCAGGGTCACGGGACACTAAGCAAGCCCGCTTTTGCTGAGCAGCCGGAAATAGTGTAGATGTAGGAATAGTTGAAATATTGGAGATTTTTGCTTGGTTACACTTTGTGGGAGAAATCAGGAAATCTCTGTACAATCATTTCTCCGTGACATACAGAATATGGGTGCATGGAGTTCATTATAGGTGACAGTCTGTGAGAGACGCAGGGTCAATAAAACTGGTCAAAATGCACCGTCAATTCACTTTATTGTATATTCTTTGAAGAGCTTTGAGACGTCTCAATGACGTGATAAGGCGCTATATCAAATGCAGGGATTATTATTATTATAGTTGGGTTACATGCTGCTGCTTTTTGTAAATAATACAGCTGTTTGGTTCAATCTGCCTCAAGATTCCCTGATGAGTGAACATTTAAAACTCTGTCTGTTTTCAACAATTGGATCAACCGCTGTTTTGATCGATGTATCCGGACTGGGATCGTAACTGTTTACTATATCGACTGATTTCAGTAAATAATTTAACTTATTTAATAATTCATTAAATACTGACCAAATTTTACAAACGAGTTAGTTACGAATCAAAAGTCCAATTAATAAGTTATCAACTTAAAGGCTAAGTTTCTTTTTCAATGTATTAATTGATCCGCATGCAGCAATGAATCGTTATCAGGTTTGTTTTCCCCCCCACGCCCCCAAATAAATAAATAAATAAATAAATAATAATAATTTGTTCACTCAATCCAAGACTGTTTGTGGGACTCTGCTGTATGCAATTAGCTGCTGGTTTTCACCCATACAGTCAATTCACTTTACAGTTGTTCTACTTCACAGTAAAATCCTGTGAAGCACTTTGTGACGTCCTCTCACCGGGAAAGGCTCTATACCAAATGCAAGGAGTATTATTATTTAATAGATTGAATAGATTGCTCTTTCAAAGACAGATGGACTGAATGGCTTTCTGTGCTGTAAATTTCTAAGTCTTTTGGATAAACAAATGGAGCATTTCCCTAGCTTTCTCTCTCTCTCTCCTCTCCACGCCCCGAAAAAATAATCAGCAGTGAAACTCGACTCTCCTGCACCGTTAGGTACAGAAATAGGTGTGTGGGAGTAATGGCGGTGATCGGGTTACAGGAAAGTAATAGTTCATGATATCAGCAGAGATTATTTGCTTTACATATCTTCTCCTCCACCTGGAAATTTCCACGTTACATCAGCAAGATTAGCCTGACCTTTCCATCGCTTAATATGGCAATTTATATTGTCTTTCTCGTCTTTTTTTAAAAAAAAACAACCTTTCCTCCCTTGCCTCCTCCGCTTTCCCCCGAAGGCAATGATTCACACGTTGCTCTTTCCCAAGTGGTCATTTGTGGTTGAGACAGTACCTCTCCAACCCCCCCACCCCGACCCACCCCACCAATCCCGATCCCTCTGGGACGCTATGTAAATGCAAATTGTTGTTGTGGGTGTCGGTGGGGAAATCTAACCAAGGCGAGAGTAGGATTATGGCTGGGTTCGACCACATTCTCGCTTGCTGCTTACGCATGCACACATTTACTAACAGCGATCAGCAACAGATGTAATTTCACCCTCCCTTGCCCTTACAGGAGCTAAGGTCAATTGCAGAGCCCCAGGTTTACGTGCTCGCCAGAGACCAGCGAGCTCAGTGATGAGCAGGGATTGAATCTGAAGTTATTTGGTCTATGGACCCAATTTTGCACCATCTACCCACCCACCAGAAAGCCAGAGCTACCATAAGATCATAATAAAATTCCTTGTCACAACATCTCACAGAAGTAGCTTCTGTATGCCATTTGCGAAGAAAGCAACCCAACTTCTGACTGTGATTACACCCACGTGTTCATATGTTTCTTGTATGTTTTTATATGTTTCACCCACAAAACACATAGTCAATTCCACTTTACAGTCTATCCTGTGAAGCGCTTTGAGACATCTCAGCGACATGATACAACGCTATATCAAATGCAAGTATTATTATTAATATTATGTGCCGGAAGCAAGAGAAATGTAATTATTAAACTCTCACTTACGACACGAGCACAAGTCAGCAGACACCAAGCCAGAAAGGACCCCCAAAATGAAACTTGCTTGTTGGGGTACTGATGGAATTGAACCAGGTTTATTGTCCACTGGTAAAATTCCCGCTGCTTGTCCAGCTAGGATCACCCTACCCACTAGTGCTTTGGCAGGTTATCAGGATCACGTTCAGGTGGATGTTCAAAGAACCTTGGGACACAATCTAAAAAGAGTTTCCTAGCCAGCAATCCCCAAGATAAAATTGGTCACTCGCTGACTTCATGCCTGTTTGCTATACCCAAACTGGCCGCTGCCTTTGCTGACAGACACACAGTCACTACACTTGACAGCAAACATCTGTGAGGCACTATTTGACTTCACTCTGCATACATCCAGTTCCGGAAAACATGCATTCACCTCACTTCAAAGTAATTCCTGTTGCTTTTGAAAACTGCGCCATTTATTTGAAGACTGAGGTGTGTTTCGCCCACAAATACACAACCACTGAACTTTGCAGTAAATCCTATGAGATACTTTAAGGTGTTTCAACGGTGTGATAAGACGCGATAACAAAATCAAATGCAAGGATGTAGGGCTTGAATCCACAAACCTATAACTCAGAGGCGAGATCGTTCCTTCTCTTAGTTATTTTGTGATCAACCAGGAAAGTGCATGGGATGATGGGGCAGGAAAGGGTGTAAATAATCATCCCAAAAGACAGGAAAATGAATACCATTTAGAGCGTGGATTGGAGCATGTCATTCTGCGTGCTGGTCACTCGATACAGTCATATACATCAGCTGGTGCTGTGCTGACTATTCCAGTTAACATCATTCTCTGTCTTTTAATGAAAAAACTACAGTTTTGATTGGCTGTGTATTTCGCAAACTATTCGCTGTCTGTCACATGTGGTTCCGGTTAGTAATGGCAAACGCAATCCTGAGATCCTCAGGGTTAATGGAAAAGCCTGCTGATCAAGACTGTCTGTAGGGTAACATTCTACAGTAGTCAGTTTGTAATAATAATTATCAATAATGCTTGCATTTGATATAGTGCCTTGTCATGTCGTCGAGACGTCTCAAAACGCTTCACAGCATACACTGTAAAGTGGATTGACTGTGTATTTTGTGGGCGAAATCAACTGCACATATAAAAGGGACTATTAAATTCACTCCCAGCTACTTTGGAAAAATACATCAATGTCCAACACGGTTATAAATGATTTAGAAGTATGCGTATTTATAAAGTAAAATCCAGCAGATTTGTATTCTCTGACCTTAACTCCACTACCTGAGTTGTTTGTGTGTGGTTAGGAAAGGGTATAGCCGGGAGAGGAGAGTGGAAACTCTGAGGAACGATAGCAAAAGTTTGAGACACCCCTCACATCCCCATCTCCGCTTAGTTTTAAGTCTTTCAATCTCCAACAGGTTAAAAAATGTCACCTGAAATTTGATGCCTTGAATCGCTCACTAGTCGAGGCAATAGACAAGAAACACAGCAGCTCCCACCGCACAACCTTCTCTCTCAAGCACCTGCTGAAAATAAAATAAATTAAAATAAATAAATTAATTAAATGCGAACGCAGCGTTATCAGAATATAAACCCATATCCGGAGTGAATTAAACCAGCACTTTGCTGATAGGAGCCCCACGCAAGTGGTGAGTGACAGCAAACAGGTGAAATTAACCCAACAGGGAACAAAACCCCCCCCTGACATTTTAATAATAATCCTTGCATTTGATAGCGCTTTATCACGTTGTTGAGATGTCTCAAAGCACTTCGCGGGATATACTGTGAAGTGAATTGACTGTGTTTTGTGGGCGAAACACAGCAGCCAATTACGCACACCAATGTCCCGCAAAGAATCAACCAAGTTTTTTTTTGTTGAAGGAATTATTATCCCTAGATCTTCAACATCCGCCGGCAACAGTGGACAGGCAAGCAAAACTCTTTGGTTTAAGGTCTCATTGAAGCACTGTCAGTCTGCCGCAATACAGCGACTCTCTCCCAAGCACCCAAGTGTCAGCCTGGACTAGAAATACAAACTGTGTTTGTTTAGTGCCTCCAATAAAAATATAATAACGACCCCACTTGCCACATCTGTGAGTTACAAGAACTATGTAAACAACTCCTGGCCTTTACTGCTGCCAAAGAAACCTAATGTTCATTTTGTAATGAATAATACTAATAATAATCCTTGCATTTGATTTAGCGCCTTATCACGTCTTCAAGACGTCTCAAAGCACTTCCCAGGATTATACATTAAAGCGAATCGACCGTATATTTTGTGTAATTAAATTAAAAATGCTGTAAATGTGCTAAAAAAAAATCACTCTCTTTCTCTGCCCCACCCCAAGTCCAAAAACAGGGCATGAGAACTTGCCTTTCAATTTTAAGTGAATTACTGAATTAAGTCAAATTATCAATATGCAAGGATTGTTCAACGGGGGTGGATTAGTGATAATTTGGGTGATCAATAGTTTAAGAGCAAGAAATACACCGGTCGGTGGCTTTCAGGGTAAATGCTGTGTTAGGTGATTGCAAAGCCATCTAATCTCTTACATTTCAAACACTTTTGATGCCTGGTTTTATTGTGTGTATGTGTGTGTGTGTGTGTATGTGGGTGGGGGGGGGGGGATCTCACACTTGATTCCCCCCCCCCATCCTTGTTTCTTTAAGGTGGTGAATTTTTTTTTACACACAGAGAGAAAAAAATAAATACTCAGTCTATTGGTTTGTTTTTCTTGATTATTTGAGGTTTCAGAAGAGAGGAGGAGAGAGAAAAAAAACACCAGAGACTGTGACCATTAGGAAATCATGTAGTGAGATCCCTCTGTGTGACACCAACACCAATTCAACTTGAATGCGACACAAGGAAAGGTTCAATTGAAAAGGCACTTGGAGTCTTTACAACACACATCTGTACATCACATCAGCTGTTGGTTTGCATTCAACCCATTTGTCTCACCATTGTCCACTTCCACCCACAATAATACTGGGCACAAACTCATTGCATTTGTCGCAATTAATTGCAGCATTTGTAAAATGGTTGCTATGCCAAGATAATTGATTGTATTAAATACCATTAAATACATATATATATACACACACACACAGTATATCATTGTGATGATATATTTGCAGCTGATCGATTATTCCAATAAATTTACCACGTTTTAGAAATTGACAAACATGTGGACTGTATGAATATCATTATTAATCAAGTTTAATACAGTGATAAGACAAGATTGTATTTGCACAGAGGCTTTCACGTCGGGACGACGTCCCAAGGCGATGGTCAGTCAGGGATTCGGACCCGACCTGGGGGTTGGGATCAGGGGATGGAATTAAAAACAAAACGAAATCACGATTGCTATTGTAATTTTGCTTACAATAAACCACAATTATCGGCAATTATTCGTTCAAAGCGACACTTTTCTCACAGGCTACACACCAAAAAAAACCTTATTCTGGATATATTTGCAGAGAGAGAAATATATATGTTCATCTGTGACGCAAATGAAAGACGTTTAAACGATTCCCTGTGTCTTTGAATTATTTAAACACTTAAATAAATATACGACGACTAAATCCGACTATTTGGTCGTTTGAATCGTTCCCATTTTTTTGGGACAGGAGAAAAAAAGGTACATTTCTGGGGGTTGAATGTGGAAGAAAACTGTGTGACACACTTTTCGTGGAGGGTACGAAGTGGGTCAGAAACTCACTTTGTTCTGTTTGGGATCCAACAATGTTTTAAGGAAATAAGAAGAGAAAAAAAGGATTCAAAAATAGATTGCAGAAGCAGTTTGTGGTTTGGTTTGAATGGAATACGATTGGGAGATTGACCATCATCTTAGTGATTATTTTTCCTATTTTTTCCCCCCCAAAAACTTAGGGTTTTTGTTAGGTTTTGATGTTAGAATCCACACGTTTCACTTTAAGAGTCTAGAAATTAGATATAAATTAGATATAATTATTGAACAGCATTTAACACGAGAGAGAGAGAGAGAGAGAGAGAGAGACAGAAAGAGAGAGAAAGAAAACAGGTACAGACCTTCATTTTGTCTCTTTCCACCTTCTCTCTCTCTCTGTCAGCCTATAAAATAAAAAGAAAATAGATATATATAGATAAATATAGTTTTTTTAACAATTAAAAAAATCACAACACGCCTATCGTTTCCTATTTCGATAGGAAAATCTCCCCTTTTTCTCACCAATTGGGTTTTTAATTTTGTTTTAATGTATAAAAAGAGATGAAAATTATATTAACACAACACCAGTGTTAAGACAGATGGTCAATGTAGGGAAACGTCTTATTGAATCTTTTTATCTGCATATAACATACATATGCAACACATATGTATTATAATATATATATTATACATAATATAACATAATATATTACATTATAGTATGTATATAAATATATATAACAGTAGCATATAACATAAATATAGATATATAAGGATAGATGAGATGAAGTGTAGCCCCTGTGGTGAACACAAATTATCTTTGAGCAGAAATGTGATTTGAGAAGGGTTTTGTTGGTCAGGAAAGCTTTCTGCTCCAGAAAGATTTCACACCAGATTTCTGTGCAATTATCAACCAGGGTTTAATGTGGTTGTCAGGGGGGAGAGAAAGGAACTCACACACTGACTGACTCATCTCAGCCCAACACCATTAACCAGCAAAAAACAAACACTAGATAGTCTCACTGGAGATAAGGCAGATTTTTTTTTTTGGGGGGGGGAGTGGAAAAGGGATGGGGAGAATGGAAGGAGAAAGGAAGAACAAACGAAGCTGAATTACACATTTTTTTTATATGAAAGTTAATGTTCAACTATTTTTTTGGGAAAAAAAACTTCCGACTGAGTCAGAAATCACATCAACTTAAGGAAACAAGTGCTTGTGTTACATCAGTCTGTGAGGTTCTGCAGATTTCCTCTCTGGGTTTATTCCTATTTAATGTACATTTTTTTTTCTTTTAAGAGGCCAGCTAATAGCTAATAATTCCTTTTTTTAAGCAAATTCACAGAAAAATTACGAATGCAATTTGCATTTGAGCCTTTGCAAGGAACAAGAGATTGATCCGTGTATCCTTAAGTATTATAGATTACACGAATTTCCCTTTTTCCTCCACTATTACAGTCAGGCATCGATGAAACCTGCATTTTATTTTGCAATATTTTTGATAATTTGAAGTGTTTGTCACGTTTGGAACTTCACTTAGATTTGTGTTGGCGCAAACCTTATGGCTTGGCAATACATATAAAAAATAATAATAAAAAAAAGGACTCTTTTTAACAGAATGAAAGCGACATCTTCCTGGATTCACCTCAAAAAAAGAGTGTAATTGTCCCAATTAACTGAGCATTGTATTTTGCATCAATGAAATAAAACACTTTAGCAATTACAAACAACCAATCTATTCAGCTCCTTATAAAAAACCTTCCCCTTCCCTGTGGTAAAACAACCCACAATATTTCTTGGTCGCCTTTAGATATAAAAATAATAATAATTTCTGAGATAATGTAAAAAATAAGTTACATTATCTCGGAATTCTGCGTTTTACTTACCTTAAAAAGCACACACTCCTCCTTTTTCCATTTAATATTTAGAAAAAAGTTTCATTTTATTGTGTTAATATTAAATCGAGACTTAGTTTCGGGTTAAAAACCAACAATTTCATAAAACGTTGGAACAAACAAATAAAGCAATCTCTCCAATTAGTTCACACAAAATTGTTTGCGGTGGTTTAAATGATAAAATAAGAAAGTTATTCTCTTTCTCTCTCCCTTCTTACTCCAAGGGGCAGATGACATTGAGGTTTGATGTCTCTAACCCCACACATAACGAGGCAGAATTTAAAATCTCTATAAAATACCAAGAAAAAAAATAGTAAAATGTTTTAGTGGAATTCACATAGCATCTGCTCAAATAAGAATTATTATTTTTTTGACGACCTTAACGAACATCAGGGGTACAACTCGACAGCCTCAGAACGGAGCAGAGATTATGAAAACAAAAAGATAGAAAATAGATCATTTGTTTCTAAAATAAATGGTTAAATACATTTATATATCCAATGGATTCAATATTTTCATGATGGAATAGTTCACCCCCCCCCCATAACCCACAGGCTAAACACGATGAAACACAAATAGAAATAATTTGCTTACCTGAAAATGGTGTTTTTTTAATTTAAAGAAATGTTTTGGGTTTTTTTTATATATATAAAAAAAATGTAAGTTCAGCGCACGTCAACCAAACTGGGGTGGGGGCGGGACGTGGAAGAGAGCGGAACCTGAGTGACAAGGCAGTCAACGAATCAAACGCCGCAGCGGGGTCCAGGCGCCCAATCAGAGGGGCGTGCGCGGTGAGAGGGGCCGCCCCCCCACCTCTAGCAGGGTAGGTTGTATTATTCTCACTGAAATAAAATCAAAGAAAAATCTCTGCTCTTTTGAGGGGGGAGGAAAAGTGGTGGTGGTTTGGGGGGAGAGAGAGAGAGAGAGAGAAATTGAGAGAAAAGTTGTCCAGCTGGAAAACTTTCTTGGAAGGTGGATGGGGGGGTGGGATGAGAGGGATGGGATGAGAGGGATGGGATGAGAGGGATGGGATGAGAGGGATGGGGTGGGATGAGAGGGATGGGGGGGTTGCAGAGAGATCTCAGAGGGAATCTGGACTGCTGGCTGGAGCTATAACACAGGCTTTTTATACCTGAGCTGGGGAGGAGCAGCTGAGAGAGAGGTGGGACTGACAGGAGCAAAATCAACCATCAAGAGTCATTCAAAACATCAAGAGCTTGCATTCAGCAGAGAAAAGCATCTATTTCAAAATAAAAGCTTTCAAATGAGCCCTACCTACACCTAACCCCCACCACTCACTCACACACACACACACACCATCCCCTCCATTTCTTTTCCATTGCCTGTTTTCGCTCATTTTATTTTGCCCATAGAATAGGCAGTCGATTTGCTTTACAGTATTACCCAGCGAAGCGCTTCGAGACGACACGACGACGAGATAAGGCTCTATATCAAAAGCAAGCGGCATTATTATTGTTGTTGCAAAGAGAGAGAGAGAGAGAGAGAGAGAGAGCGAGAGAAGAGGGGGACAAGTCTTTAAATGCTTCCTAATTATTTTGTTCTAAATTTCCCAAAGACTCTCCCAACCCACCACACAAACAAAACCACAAAATCAGTGAATAATATGGTTTCAAGGTGTTGCTCGCGATGTCAATTAATTTGAGGGAGTATTGAGAGAAATAGGTTTGTAGTCGGGTACTGGGTTACTCAACAAAGCTCAAATTAAACGGGAGTGGCAAGCAATCAGCAGGCCTTTGCTTCCAGTCACTCACCTGCTGAGCTGCATGTTTGTGGATGTCAAGCATTTGCCCATAATCTCCCAATTCCCCTCCTGTAGCCGAGAGCGTGAGCTATACAGATGTCAGAATGGTAACGTGCAAACACAGAAACTTTAACGATCTTAAGTAACACGCATTTGATAGAGTACCTTATCGCGTCGTCGAAACATCAAAGCGCTTCACGGACCTCGCTGTAAAGCGTAGTGGCTGTGTGTTTTTGTAGGGGAACTCAGCAGCCCAGTGATTGATCAATTTTCTGCACAGAAAGAGGCCATTTCTAACCTATAGTGTCTGTGTCACTATTACCCGATTTTTGGAATCACCTTTCTTTGAAAAAAATTATCCCCAAATAGAGTTTAATAGACAGATCAATGCGCTGATTGAAATGACAGCTGCTGCCATTCCTCCATTCAGACCGAGAGGAGAGTTTTGCTGGAGAAGCAGATGCTGATAAAAGGAGAAAATTCTTGAGGAATAATTTATTTCTACAACTTGGCAATTCGGGGGCTTCAGCAACAGACTGACCAGGTCATCGCAAAGAGAGAGAGAAAGAGAGAGAGAAAAAACCTAATTGCTTATTTGTATTTGTTTCTGGGGGTAATAATTCTCTTTCCCCGCCCACCCCAAACAATTGGTCACTCAATCCACGTCCGTTTATGGGACAATGCTGTGCGCAATTGCTGCCCCGTTTTGCCTAATTTGACGGTATCGCTGCAGTTTAGAGACAGTAAAGAATAAAACTTCTAACACAAAGTGATTTCCAATGGCATTTTGTTAATAGGAATCCACGTAGGTACTCCGATGATCAGAATCACATCAGGCCAACTCACAGAAACTCCGCTCTGAAAGTAATACAGTACCCCTAAAATTGGTCTTTCACTTAATGTCTGTTTGTGGAACATTGTTGTGTGCAAATTGGATGCTGTGTTTCGTCCTCAAAACACACAGTCACTCCACTTTACAGTACATTGCTTGCAGCGCTGTGCGACATCCTCCTGGCATGAAAATCACTGTTACAGAATTATTATTATGATTAAGTCAAAGATGAAGTCGGAGCAAAGTTCCCTGGAGTTAGTGGGATTCAATTCATGTTTCCTTATTAAGGGACATCTCACATATTAGATCCTAGAACTAAGAAAAAATGAGTGAAAATCGATATGTCATGGTTTGATCTTTTTTTATTGTTAGAATTTGAAGTCATCACATGGTAGACCGCAAATGAGAAGGGGATAAAGGGGTACAAGGGGAAACTAGAGAGCGGATCATTAGGAGAGATGGAGAAACCGGTGGAGTATAAACACCAGCATGGACCAGCTGGGCCAAGTAGCTTGTTTCAGTGTTGTACAGTCTATGTAATTTCACATAATGTATTTTTCTTTGCTCGCTCTGCTCTGTAGGGGAGCATTGTTGCTCTAATGGAGCCTCACACTGATCAGTTGAATAAAAGCTAACTTTAGAAAATCTCTGAGCTCCGGCAATGACTGAGCAAGTTTACCAAGCGAGTTGTCAAGACGCAAAGGTTCCAGGTTTGAATCTCGGTCTGTGCTGCGTTAATTCATCTCAACGAGGCACACTAGAGGCCACTACAATTGGTCTCAGAATCCCCTGGGTTTGGGAACAGAAAGGGGGAAATCTGCCAGAGTCCCCGCACCTGGTCACTATCTATTAGGGGTGCATGTGTATGGACATCAAGTAGGGTCTGCTTACAATGCCCC